TCCTCCCACGCGGTTCCGGTGAGCTAAGAAAATGCTTATCTCCCTGAGCTTGGCCTTCATAATTCCATTCCATCACACTAATTGTTAACTAGGATTCAAGAATTCAGCAACAATGCATCACAAAAAAACCTTCCAAATTTGTAGGTGAGATCATCCAAATAAGAAGCCAGACCTGACAAGCTAGTTTATAATAAACCCCGTTGTTTTTAGAACTGCAAAAATCCATAAATTTGAGGAAAATTAATCAAGACTTTTATCAAAGCAGTGTCTTCCAAACATTATTTGGGCAACATTCAAAGAATATTCTCCAAAGCAGTATCTGCTCCAATATATATGCCATCCAAAAATGAAGACTTAAATTTGAATGGATTGGAGAACATGTTAAAATTTGTTGACATCTCCTTTATCAAATGACAGATCTAAATATCATTCATTAAAGCAGATGAGTAACTAAGTTGCTATTCCATATTAACAACTGATGTAAGATGCTGGGTTTGCACAAAGGCTGCAGGGACACTGGTGGCCTGGACATAAATAGGATACCTGCTAGTGGCTTGAGTTGAAGCCAGTCAGCATCAGGTCTGTTTAGTTTATGATCTGAAAGTTTCCTTCCAATTGGCGATTCATCAACCTTTTGCTTTTTCTTACACCATTTCTGTTTGGTCTGAAAGAGACAAAAAGACTTAAGCCCTTAGCGATGATTAACCTTTAAGGCAAAGGGAAAAGGCCCATTAGAACAACTGCCTGGAACAATACAGAGGAACACATTCCACTAAGCCTCTGAAACTGCTCAGCTTTAGAACCTTGTTGGAAGTTCATTCAGGCAATTAACAGAAACAGAGCAGTAGCATGAATGCATCTCTTTTCAACAGCAAAGTCTCCTTATTAAGAATGTTGTTACACCACTGGCCTATTTCACTTTTCATACTGCGTTATTTTGTTCAAATGTATTTCATTAATCTGTGCAATATCCTTTCAATGTGACTCTTGCTATATAGTGCAAAAGGATACTCCTTCATACGCTTAACCAGAGGGGTACTACTCCTGTACTTGACATACAACATGGTGGCTTATTATAGGTTATAAGAGACTTGCACATTCATATATCCATGATATCCAATGGTCTTTTCTTCTCCAGGGTCCCAGCCAAAATAGTCTGGGGAGAGGAGGACTCAATGTCTAGAAAATATATCCCTGGTTCGACTGGCTGGGGATAGTAATGGGAAGCTGGTATACAGAAGTGCCTTTTGAACTCACAGACCTGCATGCACCAAAGAGAGAGGGGGCACTGTCCCCTCTGCCCATTTTTAAAAATCAAGTAACCTGGTATTTCTCACCATATAGAAATACTTTTCCAGACACACAAAAGGGCTGCCCCTTTTTCCATTTTCAATGGGATACTGTTTTAGACAAGGTGACTATAAAAGGCTAAAGACAGATTAAAAAAAAAAATCCAACACTTAAAATGTGAACCCATCAACCTCTGAAAGAATACACAACAAATCTTATCAAAATGTTCAGGTACTTAGGAGTGATGAAGCATCTGGGATTGTTCCCCCAAGTTGTAGCCTAGAAGTGTGATTTTTAAAGGAGAACAACTTGTCTGTCTGTCTGTCTGTCTATCTATCAATCAATCAATCAATCAGTCAATCAATCAATCAATCGGACTTATTTGGCCGCCTATCTCATAAAATGACTCTAGGCGGCTCACAACAATCCATAAAACATAGCTAAAAACATACCCTTCCCCCCAGGCCCTGACCAAATATCCTCACAGCTCAACCCGCCATCTTAGCCCAATGCTTGGGGGGAAGAGCCAGATCTGCACAGCCCCCCAGAAGGCTAAAAGGGTAGGGATCCCTCTGATCTCTGGTGGGAGGCTGTTCCAAAGGACTGGGGCAGCCACCGAGAAGGCACACTTCTGAGGTTCCATCAGGTGAGAGAGGGGACCTGGAGTGTAGCCACTTTATCTAACCTAGTAGGATGGGCAGATAGTCTCAGGGAGAGGCAGTCCTGCAAATAACCTGGCCATGTGCCATGCAGGGCTTTAAAGTGATAACCAGCACCTTGAATTGTACCTGGAAAGCGACTGAAAGCCAGTGCAGCTCATGCAGCAGTGGTATTACTTGGGTGAACCGTGGGACACCCGAAACTGCACATGCCACTGCATTCTGGACCACTTGCAGCTTCCGGATGGTCTTCAAGGGCAGCCCCATATAGAGTGCATGCAGTAATCTAAACAGGAGGCAACTAAGGCATGGGTGACTGTGAGCAAGTCCTCCCAGTCCAGGAATGGACCAAGCTATTACTTCAAGAGCAAACTAATTTAAATCAGAACAGAAGTTCTGTCTTTAAGGAATTTTGCCAACATGTTGCAATACACATATAAAGCTAAATGGCCTTCAAGAGATCCTTCTATTCTTATACAATTTCTGACTGCAGCAATTAGGGTGTTTCAGTACAAGAATTAACTGGATGTAGGTAATGACTCTTCTTCTGCAAGACTCCCTATGTATCTGATAATCTACACTGCAACCCTTCACCCCAGGAGAACAAATCAAGTCTGTTTGGTTTATTCAACCTATGAGCTTCATCACAACCTAGAACTCCACGCTTGCTATATATGCTTCTAAACCAACATATCTGAAGACATATTATACTTTAAAAGCATTGCTGCTCTAGCAGTTCCTAGAAACGTCAAGACCAGAAAGAATAAGAGAAAGCAGGCATCCATTTTTGTGAAGATACTCGGCTTGACAATCAACTAGCTTTCGGCAGCCTAGCAAACAGATCACTAGACTAGGGCCCAAGTGAAGACTTAATTGGCTGTATTTTTTATTTGACAACTTTTCAAACCTCTCACTCTTCCAGATAACTAGATGTAGACTTTAGAGGGCTGAGTATGTCCTCTGAAAGAGATGCTCTGAATACCTAAAGCAGATGCATATTTTTTCCAGGCTCTGGAAGCTGCTCCCAGCCATCTCTGTGTATTGATTGACATATAGTAGGGCTGTGTAGAGATCTGGATGCGAAGGGCAAAATATGATGTGGAACATGCAAGGGTGCATTTACAGTACTTTTCAAGAGCATCTTAAGCCAGATGCATCTTTTCCAAAATCACACAGCTGTAGAGGACAATTATGTACAGGTAGTCCTAGCTTAATGATGGCAATTGGGACAGCCAACTCTGTCGCTAAGAACAACATCACGTGCCCATACCGACTTACGACAGCAGTTGCAGCAGTCCCAGTTGCTGTCATTAGGCGAATCCTGCACAGTCACAGTGTCCCATGATCATGTGATTGCCATTTGCGACCTTCTGCTGGCTCCTCCATTGACTTTGCTTGTCGGAAGCTGGCAGTAAAGGTTGTAAATGGTGATCAGGTGACCACAGGATGCTGGGATGTCATAACTGGAAGCCGGTTGCCAAGCACCCAAATCACAATCATGTGACTGTGGGGACACTATGATGGGCGCAATTACAAGGACCCGTCATCATAAGTTCCCCTTGTTCAGCACCGTTGTAACTTTGAATGATTGCTGAACAAGTGGTCGTCCAATGAGAACTACCTGTACAAGCCCAGGAAAAAACACTGCTGACTTTAAGTGCTCCCAAGAAATATTACAGGTGCACCCATGTATATAGATTGATAGGATAAAATCTTATTTTAGTGAGCACAATTGGGACTGGCAATTCAATCGCTAAGTGAAACCTACTGTGCTTATGATCTTACTTCAGCTTTCCTTTGCTTTACAGACCCAGTCGCAGTTACTTTTTCATCACTGTTGTAACTGTGCATGGTCGCTAAATGAGGCAGTCACTAAACAAGGACTACCTGCATTCTGAATCAGATTTCAGTGTTTGAATCTAGATCTCTGCCCAACCCTCCAATATATATTAGCTGCCTTTTGGGATCAAGCAAAATTGAGGGATGGAGGTATAATACAGAAAAAGTTTGGCAGGTCCCTGTCAGATGAATGCAGTAAGAACTCACTGACAGTTCTGTAGAATCTATACTTAAGAACATATTCCTCCCACTCCATTTTCTTTCTTAGAAAGTAGGATTTGTCAAAACATACCCTTTGTTTCTTGTAGTGCTTGTACATTCGTATGCAGTGTTCAATAATGAACAAAAGGTAAATCCCCCCAAGGGCCACAAGTCCTTTTAGTACAGCATCATACTCTTCTAGGAAGTTCTGAACCGATCCTCCATGCTCATGGGAATGGCTGTGCAGATGCTGGTGCTCATGCTGGTGCAGATGCTGGTGCTCTTGGCCCTCATGGTGACTGTGATTGTGGACTCCTTGGGACTAATGGAAGGAAAGAGAAGAAGATATTACACATTGAACATTTCCCAGTGAAAAGACAAATCCAAATGGTGTGAAATGCTGTGCTTCTCAGCTAGAAAGCAGTGTCATGTTTATCCCGCAAAGCAAGCATGCCAAAGATCAAATTGGTTCTGTTTTCAGCAATGGCCAGTCAGATGATTCCTGACAGTTCAAAATGAGTTCATAAGCAAAGCTGTTCTTTGCAATACAAAGCATTCTTGGACCATATATGCTGATTCCAAATAAATCCTGGATAAATGATTTTGTGATGCTGCGTATGGACTCCCTATTGTGAAGTCTTGAGATCTACTCATTAACAGATCCACTCACAGATTTTGAGACAGCAAGACAGAATTATTAATTCAACTGCTTATTTGTTCAATCTTGCTTAACTTTTTCCAAATGTAGGAGGCTCAAACTTGGTTCTCACTGACTGGGCCATGTCCCCTATTTGTAAAATAGGTATAGGTCCTACCCAGGCCTTCTGTTCATAACATTTTTCCAACATTTCAAAAAGAAGTAGTGAGATACACAAAACCTGACCTCTGCTTATAGGCATTATTTTCTGTCTATCTAACCATCTGTGGTGAAGCACAGATGCTTCACAAGTAAAGGAAACCATAAGCACTATAATGAAACTGAACGTACATGTGGCAGCAGATGAAGTAGCGCGTCTCCGCTCATGGTTCCTACAGCAAGAGCAACCAGGAAGGTGAGGAGGAATTTGAAACATCCCTGATTAATTATAGGAATCAAGATCACACCTAGCAAGGACAACAAGCTAATGACTGTGATAGAAATGATGCCACAAATCCAGGCTGTGAAAGGAAAAGGAAAAACATGAATTAGAAACATAATAAATCAATAAATTATAAACCAAATATCAAAACAAACCCATTATTATTCAAAGGAAACCTGCTCAGCTAAAATGTAAGGTAGTCTTTGACTTACGACCACAATTGGAACTGGAATTTCTGTTGCTAAGCGATACAGTTGTAAAGTAAGACGTCATGTGACCACATCGCTTAGCGATGACACTCCCAGCATTCCCACTGCTGTCATTAAACAAATTCCACTGGTCGTTATCTGAGGACCCACCTCAATCCAAGTCATTCCGGGCTTAGTCCCTCCCAGCCTTGAGCCTCAATAAGGTAAGGGACTACCTCCAACTCCCCCTACCCCATCTCCCCCCCATCTCTGCCCTTTTGGCTGCCCTGAACCCTGCTTTGCAGGGGTAGCAAGCAGCCCCAGAACTGCATGGCTCTGGGGCTGCTTGGCCCTCCTTCCCCCTTCGCTTGCTTGCACCAGCGCCTTCCTTCCCTTGCTCTCACATACCAGTGCCCTCCTTCCACCTTCGCTCGCTTGCACGCACCTCCTTTGTGCTGCTGGCTGTTCATGAGGCTTTCTCCTTCCTCCTGCAAAGTCTTCTTCCTGCAAAGCCTCAGAGCCACAGCACACGCAAAGGGAGAAGGACGACACTGGTGCATGCGAGTGAGCGAAGGGGGAAAAGGGCCCTGGTACATGCGAGTGAGCAGATGGAAGAAGGGTGCGAGCGGACGGAAGAAGGGCGCGTTGTGAGTGACTGAAGGGGGAAGCAGGGCGCTGGTGCACGCGAGTGAACGGAAGGCACTGGTGTGTGCAAGTGGTGGAGAGCACTGGTCCATGGACAGCACTGGTCCAAGTGAAAGGGGAAAGAGGGCGCGGTGCGAGCGAAGGGGGAAGGTGGATGCAGTGTGTGTGCACCAGTAGGGAGAAAGGAGGGTGCAATGCGTGAGAATGAAGAAAAGCCGAAAGGCCGGGGTGGATGGGGGAGACTTACCCAGGGTTTACCTGAGTAACTTGCACCCTCCTCTGCCGGCTTCTCCATTGACTTTGCTTCCCAGAAGCAAAACCAACGGGGAAGCCAGCAGGGAAGGTTGCAAATGGTGTTCACGTGATTGTGCGGTGCTTGGCAACCAGTCATAAGTCCGAATGGGTTGTCAAGTGCCCAGATCGCTATCACATGACTGCGGGGGTGCCGCAACGGCAGTAACTTCAGAGACCAGTTGTAAGTCCATTGTTTCAGCACCTTCATAATTTTGAACGGTCGCTGAATGAATGGTTGTAACTCGAAGACTACCTGTATCTATTATAAATATTTGAATAAAACACAAACCGTTATGACTTATGTACTTTTCTAACAAATGCAGGTTATATGACAAGATTTTTTTTCTTATAACTATATGAGTTAGTTAGTCTCTTAGGTTAAACTATAATTTTATTATAATACTGGATAGATTTAATTTCACCTAAATGAGTTCATCAGAGTTCATTCCAATACTGTAAAGCTAATAAGCCAGCAACGTTCACTGATTAGTGAGATCTATGTATTTTCACTGTTTTCACTTACTTACCTACTAAGAACTTTGGGGTTTCTAGTACTGTACTGAAATTTCCAAGCAAAGGGTGCCTTCTGGTATAGCAAACGTATACTTTATGTTGTCAAATTTGCAAAACTCTCCTAGTTATAAATTGTGCCTCTTGAAATAATGACAGTGCAACCCTTCTGCTTTGCAGAATACATTTCTCTTACATGTTAGCTCTCCCCAGAAAAAGTGTAAGTACATTTATGAAATTCATCAAAATGACATGCTCAACACAAGCATTCTTGCTGGAGGAAGGAAAGGGATGGAAAGAGAAAGCCAAGTGGAAGACAGGTCTTATAGAATTATTTATGGTGCAGGCATGGATCACAGGGTGCTTCTGCCAAATATTACATGCCCCAGTGGTGTTCTCACTTTGGAGAATGAACTACATATGTGATCCTACATGTTACAGAGAAAAAACACATAAAGGAAAAGGGCTTAGCAATGCCATTTGATTCCATGTAATGTGCAGTTCAAATCCAAGTTTAGGCACCAGCCTAAATATGTTTGGTTGTCTTCAAAACTGCTTTCCTGGGGTGAGAAAAGGAGGTTGCCTCACAAAAGCTGAACAGCGGGAAAGGGGAACCTTCTTAATACGTCTGAAGTGTAACCTTCCACTTAGAGGAGTTCCTGCTGCGCGAGGCCTTTTCCTCCTAGAAAACATGGGGAATGCTGGCCTGGGTCTTTTAAGGATTCAGTCATATATGTTTATGAATACAGTTGGCATCTCAATTTAACTAAATCTTCCAAGGCCAATTCTGCAATTGCTAAGGGTACTGTTTGTTGAACAGTAACACAAACATTAAGAGTAGAATGTAAATACAGCCTTATAAAGCACCTTTGAATCAAATCCACTTATATCCAGCAAGTTTACATTTATATATATTGGGAAAAACAAATAGCCTGGAAAAGAATGATGGAGGAAAGAGGGGGAGGGGGATGGCAACAGAAGACAAAAGCAGAGACTAATGGAAAGAGGACAGAGATGATGAAGCAGGAATATTAACAAAGGCTAGAAAAAACTTTGTATCAAGAAAAACTGATGTGATATCTACACAAATGACAACAGAAGGGATACTGTGCTAGCACAGACTTTTCCAACTTGGAGCCCTTCAGATGTGTTGACTGACAGCTCCCATCATCCCTAGCCAGTAAGATCAATGGTCACACTGGCTGGAAATTCTGGGGCTGAAAGGTCCATATGCCTGAAGGGCATCAGGTTACTAGGGCTTTGTAACTTTGTTTTTAAACTAGCAGAACAGAACAATTAAAAAAAAATAATTAGAAAACTGGAAGACTGCTGTATCACAGAAAATTTTCTGAAGTTCAGAAGTGAGAAAACAGCTTCCTGATTACAGTGGACATAGGCCACTCATACAAAGTGAAGATTATTTTATTTCTGCTCAGATACACTAGCTACCTTAAAATAAAGTGCCTCTGATTTTTTTCCCCAAGGTCTTTGAGATTACTTATTCATCAATTCCTCCCTCATCATCTAGTTAGAAAAAAAAGTTCTTTCAAAAAGAAGCATTCATCTGTGCAAACTTTCTAATTAGCTTGGTTTAAAGACGTATACAAGTTAACAGGTTTTCTGGGTATATGTATGTTTTTTTTAAACATACACAAAGTCACTTTCAACATTTTAATTGACAGAAAATGCTTAGCAGCCTTTCCATAAACTCTCCTGGCAATTAAACTAGGGTCAAATCAGACTAAGACAAGACTACCCAGAGAAAAGAACTATTTGCTAACAAATGCAGTGTAAAGATTATTTAGTGTTATGAATCCTTGAATAAAGTTAGCAAGAGAGGAGCTGCTGTGTCACTACGGGAGATTTATACACAACACGTTACATTTTCTTAATGACGCTGCAGTCATTAAAAATAATTACCAGGGCATTATTTCTGACAATTATTAATATATATCCACACATACCCATTTGGTGCTTTATTTCTGACAATGCTAATAAACATCTGCGAAACTAATCAACATTCATTATTAGCAACCCTATTACTTTCAAAAGAAGGGCAATCCTCTCCAAGCTTTTTTTTCCCTATGACTGCAACATTTGTGCCAGCTTTAAAACAAAATGCTATTATTCATCATTTGACAGTTTCATGGGAATCTATGAATACCTATATGGAGAAAGGCCTGAGAATAAAATGCCCCTTTAAAAATCCAACAGTGCTTTAACTTCCCCATTACCAAGCAACCTATCTATCACATTTCAAGCATCCGTTGCACATAAGTTGCACCCCCAGCGTCTCTGGGCTTTCCTTGGACTGGGGTCTTCCTGAGCTGTCAAAAAATGCCAGTGTTTCATTTCCCTTTGAGTATACAATGGACAGGCCACACTGCAGTTGTTACAACTTTGTTTTTAGAGGCTTACCAAGTTCCCATGGCCACAACTGAGTGGAGAGATTCACCTCTCCTTTGAACCTCTTCCTGATTCTACAGGGTTAAAATAATGGGATTATCCTTAAGAAGAGAGCTTTCTACTGAACAGCATGGGTACACCCAACACCTTGCCCATTTTTTTATTTTCTTAAGAATAATCCCCCTTGTAGCAAATAAGGCTCCAAACATTTTGGGCCAATGGGCATATCTGGAATTTTGAGAGCATGACATACAGGTGGCCAATCAGAAAGCACGCCCAGGAGCGAAAGTGGAGGGTGTTCTCTGCATTCCCATCTAACCTCCCAGGATGTTCTTTTTGAACTCAGCTTATTTCTCTTTCTTCCTTTTCTGGAGAAAGATTTTCAAGCACTATATTGGACTGCAACTCCTGATCACTGTTATTTTCTAGGAATGCCTCCGGGCTACAAGCAGGGCTCAAAGCATTATTGGACACAAAAATAATATACAAGGCTGAAGTTTTGCTTTTCAGCATGCCAGATTTCCATTTAAATGTTTTCAATTAGAATAATCTTTAAAAAAAAAAAAAAGCAAGTACAATAAAATGGAGAATGGAGCTTTCAGCCTCAACAAAAATATTTGCCTGGTGTTATCTCAACTAAGATATGATCCCATAAAACTACTCTTTACCTCTTCTGCAGAGTGTGTGCTACATAGGTTCATCATGAGTGGTTTTTACTAGGCCCATACAAAGCAAAATAAACATGCAGTTGCACGGAGGAAATCTTATTTGTGTAGCAAAGCCACTGGTCATTTCGAAGTAGCTGCCTCAGGCAGACATTTAAATACAGAAATCCCATATACATTAGGAAGAGCCTCAGCTCAAGTTTTGACATATGGTTGATGCTGTACAAAAGGCTGCACTATAATTATACTTATTTACAATAGGGAATACTCTGAATGACTCTGCAAACAGACAAGAATGGGTGTTCTAGGACCCATCACATTTTGGACTGCTTGTGTTATCATAAAGTAACTGGAAGTCTAAAAAAAAATCACAAGGGGAATAAATACTGCCCAGTTGCTTGAAGATCAATACAAGCAAGACAAGAACTCAAGTGGATCTCCCAAAGAACAGTAAGTAGGTGGCTTCTATTACCTGAACTGGCCTGACCAAGTTAAGAGCATATTGTGTGGTATATACATCAAATGAAATTACATTAACTAATCTGAAAACCCACAAATCTTTCAGTCTAGTTTCTTCCTCACCTGATGCACCTGTTTTCTCCATATTCCCAAGTGACACATTTTTTCCTTTATTCAAGTCTTCAAGAAGCAGATCTTCATAATGTTCAATACAAAGTCGCCTGTCAATCTGATACAGCAATGCAGGACACAGATAAGTAAACAAGCTGGGAGAAATTGGAGAACTGGGGTGGAGACCATAATGGCTTAGCAGCTGCGTGACATTTAAGCACTGCAAACGAATTAAGAAGAAGACAATTAAGCAGGTACCATCATTAAAGGCATACTTAGCTACTTGGTCTCATACAATTACACGCATCTCTTCTGTCATTTGAACTGCTACTCAGCCCCTGAAGCATCGCATATTGGAGGATAGGATTTTAATCTGGCAATGTAAAATGTAAATTGAGTAACTATCTGTTGGTTTTTTTTGAGGGGGAGAGGGAGATTTAATTTATTCATGACATCTACTGAGACTCTTAAAGTTTAAACCTAAATTCAGAAATGTTTATGCATACTGAAATCCTTCCTGGGGAACAGTAATGTAAAGGATTAGGATTTCATCATTGGCTGACTGAAATGGCATTTCATTTCAGCCAGCTAAGGATTATTAAATATTTGCCTATACAGTTTTAAAAAGGATACAAGATTAAGAAGTTAACCAGTTCATCAAAGAAGAAAGTACAAAAATCCTCGAGAAGTACAGACAAATAAAAGGTAATAACTTTGGATTTATCATCCTGGGATAATCTAAACAGCCATGTAAATAACCATTTTTCCTCCCTTATCAATTATACTATTAGTTGTGCTCAATAATGCACTATCAAGCATCTATCTATAAGCCCTTAGTTATATGCACCCTGCTTTGTATAGTTCTTCCTTAGCTACAGTCAGGTCCAGAAATATTGGGACATCGACACAATTCTAACATCTTTGGCTCT